ACCTCACCTTGTACGATCTCAAGGCAGGTTTCCGCAAAGCCCAAAATGGTAAATGAATTTCATCCCAACTCCAGTGAGCGGCATTCTGACATTATTTCGATAGCGGTTATGAACTATACAGAAATGGAGGCGAAGGTGCTACTCTACCAACAACTCAATTATGCGAACCCCGGGTCTGACATCGTTGCAATAGGTGCGAGAAGCTACCAACAATGAGCCATGGGGCGCTTCGTCTACATTAATGCAAGAAATCGCCAACGGCACATTCAACTAGTACGAAACCGGGCGAAACGTTTCTTTCAAATGACTAACCTGAGACCAGCCAAACACTCAACGAGATTATGCCCATGATCTATCGCCGATTCACCGAAAAGGCCGCCGAGGAGTGGCGACAAATCTACAAAGCGCTACAACTGCTCGAGTTTCTCATCAAGCACGGCTCTGAACGGGTCATTGATGATGCTCGGGGACATATCACTCTCCTGAAGATGCTGCGACAATTTCACTTTATTGATCAGAACGGCAAAGACCAAGGTCTCAATGTGCGGAATCGAGCCAAAGAATTAGCCGAGCTTCTGGGCGACGTTGAGCGCATCCGATCTGAGCGCAAGAAAGCGCGGGCAACCAAGAACAAATACACCGGTGTTGAAGGCGGCATGACCTTTGGAGGCGGCTTTTCTGGTGGGAGCGGTAGTAGATATGGCGGATTCGGCAGTGAATCGGGAAACTACGGCGGCTACTCCGGCGGTGTTTACGGAGACGGCGGCGGCTTCGGTGGCCAGCATGATGGCTACCGCGAGTCGGGCGGTGGTGGTAGCAGTGGTGCCGGCCGGTCCGATGGGTTTGAGGAGTATGACGAGTTCAACGAAGATGAGCGACCATCGAGAGCTTCACGCAAGTCCGACCACACATCCACCAAGAAACCAGCTGCCGAACCAGCAAAGAAGAAGGAGCCTGAGGTTGACTTGTTCTCATTCGATGACCCAGTTCAGAGTTCAAGCTCCGCGACCCCTGCTGCGACCCAAAGCGCAGGGCTGGCCGTTTTGGCTGGGCCGTCTAGTGGCAATGTCGGCGCAGACGATGATGACGATTTTGACGATTTCCAGTCTGCAACACCGGCAACTCAGCCGATTGTTCAACCTTTAACAACTCCTCTCACTTCAACAGCCACCTCAACGGCACAATTCGCCGCGCCCAAACCAGTGTCCGCTCCCCAGACTGCCAACCTTAGCCAGATGGTCAACACTTCGTCTATCTCACCCGGGCCCAACTCCAGCGCTACCCATGGCGCCAACTACTCTGCCTTTGCTGTCCCAATGACCCAGAACCAGCCTCCCAAGCCAACTGGCTTCCAACCTGCTGGTCCGAACTACTTCAGCGGTGTTCCATCTCAAGCATCTAACCCAGCTCCGACCAGCATGTCGGCTATGGGCAACATGGCTTCAACCGGACCAACAACAATGGCGAACATGAAGCCTGTCACCAGTCCTGGGTCTAAGCCAGCCGGAGCCAGCGGTGGTGATGCATTCGGCGCTCTCTGGGGCAAGGCTAGCTCCAGCATCAAGAAGACCGAGAAGTCAACCAGCGGGCCTGCAATGGGACAGCTTGCCAAGGAGAAAAGCAGTGCTGGTATCTGGGGAGCGCCAGCCGTGTCCTCCCAGCCCGGTTCCGCAGCTGGAAACAGCGGGTCAGCATCTGGTGATCTGCTTGGCTAGGTTGACATTGTATGGATCGTTTTGCTTTGACCTCGAGTTTATTCACGCAAATCTAGCAACGGCTCCTGATGCGGGACTAAAATTGCACGTACGGGCCATGGGGAAGGATTGGCAATGGCTAATCTACAACGCGCGCATTGAGCAAGCATGTTTGAAGTTGAGACTTTTAGATAGGCGTACGGCGCAAGAAAATGAAATTGAACCAGCCATCAGCCATCAGCCATACCGCATGCCACCGTATAGACGGACATGAAACCCACCGTCAAGCCTCAATTATCACAATACACAATCGGCATTAAAATCAGCTGAAAACAAGCTTCTGCAGGCCACTGCATCCATTTTTAGCTCATGGCCGCCAGAGAAAATGTCCGTCAGGCCTTGCAGGACCAAACATTGAAGCTGCCCGCCATGGTCCCTCTCATTTGGCCATGCTGCGGCCGGGCAACGCATAGCCGGGTTTGTGGGTTCATGGCAATCGATCAAACGAACCAAGCCCAATCACTCAACGTCTTGGGCCATGGTCTGTTGCTACCAAGACCAGCCGAGACCCGGGCAGACGCGCTTAAATCGTGCGAGTGCAGCAAGGTTGTGTAAGCGCCGGCTTTTGCGTCGTGGTGCAGAGAACACGGTGATTGGTCAGCCGGGCGGCTGCCCACACTGGCCAACGTCTCATACATGCTTGTCAAAGTTGTCATGGCTGGTCCCCTCCGGGTATGAGTCGTTGATGCGTCGTTCACCAAGGATGTGTAAACCGGGTTTGTGTAGTCGCCGGAGACTCAAAATTTGAAACGGCGACGGCCCATGTCGGTATGTATGTGGACGGCAGCGTCGCTGCATTTAGAAACCAGCACTACATTGCCGGGTGGTACACATCAATGGTGACATGGCCGCAGGAAGATAGATGCATGGCGGCCATGGCCTTCGTCTGGTATAAAAGAGTCCAACATCCTACCTAAACGTAGCCTCGTTCTTCTTCACTCTCAAGTCAAAAAACAACTACTTTGTCGGAAGGAACTGTTTCTTTCCTTTGTCTCTTTTTTTTCCTTTTTCTTTTTTTCTCCCTCTCACACCTTCTTTTCTCGGGTTCGGACTAAGGGTCTCTCTGCGCATTTAGATCAACCATCTTTGCTGTTTCAACGTTTTGCATATTTCCTCTGGTCAAAATTTACACATTCTCTCACTGTGCTTGAAGGAAACAGACTCGAAAGATCCGGATATCCATCCATTCTCTTCACAACAACAAAGAAACGCCAGCTTCAGCCCGTCTCTCGCTTGCTGCTTGTTTTTATTTTTGAGTCTTTGCTCCAACTTACGCAGTCGGGCAAAGGCTTCTTTTGCACCAAACTCACGATTTCGCCCACCACGCCTCCGCCGGCTATTGTGCCGTTTTACTCGAAACATTTCCCTCTTTGCACGGCCAAGTGCTCGTCTCGACCTCGGCTTTCGCTCGATATTCCTACTGGAGTTACTGCCAAAATGCCTGCTCCTCCAGCGTTGGGTGCCCTGGGCATGACGTTTACGGCCATGCGCGCTCTACAGGCCATTTCACTGATCACCATTATTGGGCTGGCTTCGAATTTTATTTCTGAAATGGTGACTGCCAGCTACGTGCCGCCGCCTGCGCTGGTCGGCACTCTTGTCGTTGTACGCTTCTCCGTGGCGAGTGTAAAAAGGGTTTGGCTGACTGACTGAACACTAGGCTTGCATCACTGCTGTTTACACCGTCATCACGTACATTCTCTACTGGGACTCGATGCTCCCTCTTCTGATTTCCACCGCTGCCGATGGCCTTTGTCTCGTCGCCACCATCGCGGTGGCTTGTGTCGTCGGCAAGCCCGTCAGCTACCTCTCGTGCCCTTCGCTCCCCGACAAGGGCAACACAGCCAACTTCATACACTCCCTTTTCCTCAATCTCTCACGCAAGAACTACTTTGAGTGGGTTGACCCTGACAAGGCAACCTGCTTTGAGATCAAGGCCATCTGGGGCCTCAGCATCTGCCTCTGCGTCCTCTACTTCATGTCCGCCGTCACGTCGGCCTGCCTCTGGAAACGCATCAAGGGCGGCAGCCGGCCCCCTCCCAAGGACTTGGAATGAGGGTACGGCCGTGGGGAGGCTCCGGCCGGGAGGAAAAGATTGGTAGCGCCGCCTCGGGCTCCGCGAGAGCTGCATAGGGCAAAGAGCCTTGGCACAATGGCCATGGTTCACCCGCACAAGAGATATGATAGCGACTCGGGCAGCGACGACGCCGTCAGCATGAATATCCCCTATCAGGCTCGTGGGTCTGTTTATCCATCGTTTCCTCCCCCGCCGGTCCCCGCGGCGACAATTCGCGAGAAGCGAGCTCGCCTTCAGCCTCCGCCTCGACCTGTCGAGACGATCCCTCCGTTGCCGCCTGTACCTGTTGTTGTACCGCAGCCAAAGTCGCCCGTGGGTTTGGGGTTACTGAGTCCTCCTCTGACCGCGCTCAGGCCTAAACGGAAGACTATCTTGGAGAGGATTGACGGGTGGTGGGATTTGGGGCTGCTGGAGAAAAGGCAGACTTTTTTTGGCAAACACCGTAATGAGTTGCATTAGAATTAGTTTTTGATTTGGCTTTGGCTTTGGGGAAATATTTAGATTGCCTGCTAAGACTTGGTTCAGGACTTAATCGTTCGTTGTTATCTGTTTGTGTTTTTTTGAAAGGGGGGGCTTTGGGTATAACACTGGCATATCATGGGATCGTGACAAAAACTGACAATTAATTGGTTAGGTTGTTGGTTTGATTTTTTTATATTTTGCTAGGTCAGAATTGCATTAATGTTGGTCAAGGTTTCGACATTGTGGGGTGAAACCCCTTTTAGAGCAGCGACGTTTATAAACAACTTGGGCATAGGAATATTTAAACAATAAAATAAAAAAGAGATTGCATGAGGCTGTTCTTCTTATTACCATATAAATAATTGCTATTACTCTCTGCATTGCCTCTACTCAATTGATGAATTGATTGAGTAATATCTTTGTAATAAATTCTCAAGTCGCAGGCGTAAATACAGGGTAACTTCGCTCAACGCTATGAGACCAATCAGAGTAATAGTCGGCAATTAAAAAAAGGGGAAGCGTGATGACAAATGGGCGCCAAGCACATAAGCCACGAACGATCCACTCTTAAGGCCGTTGAAGTTGGTCACTGCATCACAAAGAACAGAGGCGCATCAACAGTTGCGATTTCACTACCCGACATATGCTCTCTGCCTACACGGCCAGTGAGACCGTGCCTCAGAAAAATGTCCTACTCAACGTCCAAAATGTCGGTCCTTCGACAGCTCATGTCCAACAGCAAGACCCGCTCCTCTGGGGGCTGTTGGACCTGTAGAATGAGACGCAAGAAATGCGCTGAGAACCGCCCAGAGTGCGATACTTGCAAGGCTCTTGAAATCACCTGCTATTTCCAGGATGAAAAGCCGGATTGGATGGATGGCGGACCCAAGCAGAGAGAGATGGCTGATAGGATCAAGGCTGAGGTGAAGAAGCAGGCCAGCCAGAGGAGGGATCGCAAGTATCTAGAGATGCTGGAGGCAGGGACCAAGATGGTGAGCATAAGCGACACTGACGATCCACAGGCCAACGGGGGCCGTGGAAAGGTCCCCATGTCTGGTGCTTCAGATACCGACCCGTCGCCTCGTAGCCATGGAATCGGCTCATCGCCAGAATCAAGCAACACGAATGGCGCCTCACCGCCCGAAGTGCCGTGGCACAGCCAGGTCTTTGTGCGGCAAGAGGATAACGACAGTAAACTCGACAACGACCTCCACTTCTTGATGATTTATCTCGATTACGTCTTCCCCTATCTGTTCCCCCATTACCGGCCGCCGGTTCTTGCGGGAGGCCGTGGCTGGATCTTGGACATTCTGCAACGCAATAAATGCGTCTTTCACACTGCGGTTTCGCTGGCAAACGCATTCTTCGCCATTGTTCTGGCAGATGGAAAGCAGGAGCACGAGCAGTGTGCGATGCGCATGGTGCACAGCCTGGAGAGCCAGCTTGAACTCGGCCTCAAAGAACTGTCCAAGGAGATGTGCTTGATCAACGCCAGCAAAACCGGCTTCGACAAGGAAAAGGGTCTTGTCGTGATGCAAAGCATTGTTCAAATGCTCTTCTTCGAAGTCGCGACCTCCAAGAAGGAGAACTGGCGACTGCATCTCGATGCTGCGATTGCATTGTTTGTGCAGATATTGTCCGAACCGGAACAGTGGACGGGGACGCTGCACAGCCTGTACAGTCCGCGGTGGCCTCCGCCTGAGATTGGCGCGAGAAGACCCTGGAGCACCAACCAGGCAGCCCTGCGATTTTTCACGGCGACTCTCATATACATTGATGTGCTGTCGAGTGTGACGCTCGGAAGCTCACCGCGCCTGCTCCGATATCACGACACTGTTATCCCAGCATGTGCAGAATTCCAAAGAAGTATCGAGCCTACGCCTGCTGGGCCGCTGACCATGGATGAGTTCTTCGGCCTGCCCAACTGGATTATCCAGCTTCTCGGCAACGTCGCCGCGTTGGAATCCTGGAAACGCGAACAACAGCAAATGGGCTCACTTTCAACCAACGAGCTGGCATCGCGAGGAAAAGTGCTCTCCGACGGAATCAAGACCGGGCTTGACCTTTTAGAGAACCACCCAGAACTGCGATACCCGCCGCAGGGTGTATTCCCGCTGCTCGTCGCAGACCCTGTGACGGGAGCCCACGCAGAGGCGCAACCGAGGTTCCAGATGATTTGGCTGCTTGCAACGCTGAGCTACCTGCATGTCGTCGTCTCAGGATGGCAGCCGTCCAGCCCTGAAATCCGCTGGTCTGTGTCCAAGGCAACAGAGCTGCTCACCTCGCTCCCGACAGGAGCCTGGCTGAGAGCGGTGGCTTGGCCCATGTGCATTTGTGGTTGTCTTTCGCCGCCAGAAGACGAAGACAAGTACCGCCAAATTGCGCGGCGACTTGGCGCGCTGCAAATATTTGGCACTGTCAAGGAAGGAATGGAAGTCATGGAGAAGGTGTGGTCCATGCGCGGACAGATTGACGAGTCCTGGGACGTGGCACGTTGCTTGAATATCTTGGGATATGGAATACTATTGATCTGATGCTTGCTGCATGGAGTAACTAACTACATTTTGGCTGTTTTGGGACGGACTGCGCATATAAATGATAAAACGATTCATGAGCGGCCTTGGGTTTTGTAAATATCACAAGGAATGAATGAAACGAATTATTGCACTTGAAATATAAATCCCATCATTGTGGGCTTTAAGTAAGCTCCTGCACATTGCAGAGACGGGATTGAGTCGCGACGAGACCCAGTGCTCCAACTTGCGCACACGGTACGAAACCACCCGCCTTGCGATCACAACGAACACAACGCATCTCATCAAATCCTCACCGGGCCCGCCATTTATATAACAACACTGAAGAGAAACAAATCCCCTCTCAGGCAGCCAGGTCCTTGGTCTCATCTCCCCATAAACCGAAACAATGCGCCTATGGACCCTATGTATCCGGGGGCAATTGTGGAAACTTGATTCCGCAGCCGGATGATGGTGCACAGTGCTTCCGAAGAGCGCTTCCACCGTCACGTCGCACACCATCTTCCCAACTCCACCAACACAACACATCCGGCCATGCATCGACGAGCCGCACTTCAATGGAGGACGACAACGGCAGACAAACACCCGGAGGGCCAGGACCGCCCCGGTACATCCGCAGCCGCATTGCCAACGCGTGCGATGGGTGCAAAGCGCGCAAGGTCAAGTGCGATGGGAAACTACCCTGCGGCTACTGCGCAGGGCGACAGCGGCCGCAGGCGTGTCACTACTCGCCACAACGGCGCAGGACGACGGCAAGCAGGAGAGTGTCAAAGAGTGTCGACGATGAAGGAGTGGGCGGAAGGGCGCTGAGGACTCGACCGGCCGCCGTGCATGATTCTGCGCAGGGTGCTTCGACGCCGAGCACGCACGATTCTGCTGCGCGAACCGCCGATGATCGGCAGGCAGCTGTGAATGTAAATGGCCCGGCCGAGCCCTCGGCTGAAGACGACACTGAAGTTCCACGAGAGGCACGGCTGCTGTGCGATGCGCAGGGAAAGCTGGTCTTCATCGGAGACTGCGCGCCACTGTCGTTTTTCCAGTCTGTCCGACAACTCGTCACCAGCAGGGTGGGACAACACGCGTTTGCGCCAGAGAGCAGTCGCTACTCGGTCTTGGAGAACGTGCCCGCTGGGTATTCGACGCGGGAGCGAGCCGGCGGCGGGTTCGGAAGCCCGCCGGACGTCGGGGGCGTTGATTTCGACGCCATTGTTGCCAGTTATCTGGCGACGACGACGGGGCTGGCCGACTTGTTCGACAACGCAAAGCTGCTGAGCGATTTGCTGCTGTGGGCGAACCATGGACGGGGGTCGGATGAATTGACGTCGGTTGTCAATTATCTTGTTCTGGCCATCGGGAGCCTCAAAGACCACGAGGCGCTGTCGCAGGGGTACTTTGAGTATGCGCGGAGCAAGGCGTACGCCACGTTGAGCGGCAACTTGAGCGTCGGGACGGTTCAGGCCTTTATTCTCATCACCATATACATGCTTTGTTCATGTCAGATAAACGGCGCGTATTTGTTCTTCGGCATAGCCGCCCGGGCGGCGTACTCCATCGGCATCCATCGAACCGAGGTGAATGCTCGATTTGGAGCCCAAGTGCACCGACAGAGGGATCGGCTGTGGAAGAGCGTTCGGATAGTAGATTTATTTCTGAGCACGTCTATGGGCAGGCCGCCGTCCGCTTCAGATGTCGACTGCACTGTTCCGTATCGAAATGTCGATGGCAACGGCGACGAGACCTTTGACCTGTTGAATGCCTCGGTACAGATACAGCTTATTACAGAGACAGTAGTGGTGGAAATCTACTCCAGACGCAAGATCTCGCTGCAGCTCACCGAGGGAATATCGCACCAGCTACGGGACTGGTCAGGGCGCTGGCTGCAGCAACTCAAGGATGTTATTGCTCGAACCGATTCTCGAAGCACGGCCGAGATGAGCGGTGCTTGCCAGGTTTTGTCATCATACTACTATGCTGTCATGCTTGTTTCGAGACCATTTCTCATGTACGAGCTTGTGAGGAGGCTATCCGACAGTCAGTCGGCGGCGGCTGGAAGGTCGCCCCTTACATCTGGGAAGTCGAAGCTTGCGGATGCATGTATTGATGCTGCCAGTTTAATGGTCGACCCGATACTGGATCTGATTGACCGAGGCATCTTCAACAGCAGAGCGCCGCTCATCGTGTAAGTGCCGCAGCTGCTGCCAAGTGCCGGAGAGGTTCAAGGCTAATACTTGTTTTGCAGCTCTTGGTTGTTCGCGTCTGCTCTCGTCTTGGGTGTCGGTCTCCTGGGCGGGTTTGGCCGCATTCTTGAAAAGTACTGCCGCATGTCCATCCAGGCGCTCGATCACTTTGCCAAAGCTGACGGCCACGCCACCCAATACTCGCTCATTGCTCAATCCCTCCTCATGACGGCGCTGGAGTATCTCGAGCGACGGGAACTCCAGGAACGGCTGCGAAGAACAGAAAACTCGAGCCAACTATTCGGCTTGATGCCATCGGAACCGCGGACAACGCCCGGAGAATCCACACCGGGTAGGGATTCATCCCAGCACACTAGCAAAAGTCCTGCGGCTGTGACGTTTCGGGGACGGGAGCCACTGGACAGGTCATTCTTGCAGCACCAGGGCTTGCAGGGTGTTCCGTCTCCGCGACTGGCCGAGATTGATTCGGCGTTTTTGGGGTTGACCGAGTCACTGATGCAGACGCCGGATGATAATTATTGGAATGGGAACGTAGGCAATGACGGGGATGCAGGGTCGGCACTGAATCTGTTTCCCCTACTGGAGGCTGGGGGAGGTATTGATTTGGCGCATTATTTTTAAGGCCGGCACTATCGGCGGCGATGTTTGATGTACATCTATGTCTGATGAATTCATGTATAATGAAGGGACTACAAAGGGTGAGCATTATAGGGCAATAGATTCAACCCCACGGATTATACCTCGTACTGCGGTTTCGTCGTGATTGCGTTGGAGTGCCAGTTTTTTGATAACCGAGGATCCGAACTTCCGCAACTAGCCCCCAACACAACTCCTATTGTGGAAGGTGGAAATGGAGCAGGCAGGTTCATCAAGTAATGAATATGTAACAAATGTGGGATGGACGCGCTATTGAGCCATTACGTCGGATTTGCTATCTGGCAAAGAAGGCCTTTTGACTCTTAATGAGTTGAGACCTGCGTATGAGGCACCATGATAAAACTCCGCTAAAAAGGGGGGGACTCCTTCCATGATTCAAATATGCATCGTCATGCTCTATGCCCAGATACAGATGAAGTATTCTGCGCAGCCACGTCCTTGGCAGGTTGCGAATTCTCTGCCTCCAAGCCCCTTTTTTGCTCCTCCACAGCCACCGGAGCAATAACATTGTCTTCTGAAAAATAATTGCTCTCTTGGACGTGAAACACCAGGACCCAGACGACTCCACAAATGCCCAAAGCATACAATCTGCGCGAGGTATTAGCCCGAATCACATGCGTCGAGAGACGAGACAGACGTAGAAGCCACCTACACCAGCTGCAGCGTAATCTGCCCCAGAAAGCTGACGCCCTCGCCGGCCATGACAAACGAGACCATCATGCCAAACGCCGAGTAAAACTTGAACATGCCCGCCACGCGGGCCAGCACCGCCGGGTCGTTGGTCGTAGCCGACAGCGTGTACTCGACGCACATCTGGTATCCCGCGTACACGGCGCCAAAGAGGACGTAGCACACAAACAAGCCCGGCCACTCGGCGTCGGACCAGTCGGCGCCGGCGGGCGTCCTCAGCGCGTCCACCCGATGAACCTGCAGCCAGCCGATGAGGCCGGCGCTCGCCCCCACGGCGACGGTTCCCATGCCCGCGATGCCGACGAGGCCCCGCGTCCTCCGGGACCGTATGTACTTGCTGTCGAGGACGAGCACGAGGACGGCGGGGACAAACGCCTGCGTCGCCTGGTAGGCAAAGTTGTTGACAGAGCGCGTGCGCAAGTTAAAGTACCGGGCTGCCCAGTTATTAGCCCTTGTTTTCTCCCCAAGAGTCTAGGATGCCAGGCGAGGCGCACAGTTGACGCTGCTCACGAGAGCCAGCGCCATCTCGCAGACGAGCTGGGCCGGCGCCGTGAAAAGGTACCGGCGGTCAAGCATGACGGCCAGCGTGCCCTTGACCTCAGGCCAGAGCCGGGCCTCCCCAAAGACGGCAATGTGCGTCCCGTCCCGGCGCACCACGCGCCCCGGGTCGACGATGAGCAGGAGCGCGATGAGCACGGCGCTCGTGTGGATAGCGATGAAGGCGACGTACACGGGCGTCGAGACGCCCACCGGCGAGGTCTGGCCGACGGACAGGCCGAGCGAGATGGAGCTCCCCACGATGGCGCCTATGCTTCTCAGAATCCACTGCGTGCTGATGTACTACGTGCGGGATTAGCGTTTCGCGTCCAGAGGCCCTGGGGGGGAAGCGGCGGCGTGTCGCACCAGGCCCTTGTCCTTTTCTTGGGCGTAGCTGAACTGGACGTAGGCGGCGGCCGTCCAGAGGAAGCCGCCCGTGATGCCGAGCATGGCGCCCGCGAGCAGCGCGAACCAGGCGTTGCCGGTGCGGTCGTAGTACCACAGGCCGCCGACGTAGCAGGGGTACCCGAGGGATCCGATGGCGAGGCTCAGCTTCGGGCGTAGCATGTTGAGGATGGTGCCGCCGAAGAGGGCGACGAGGGCGAGCAGCCCGTAGAGGAGGGCGTTGGTCTTGTTGGCCACGTCTGCCGAGGACGGCTGGCCGCCGCCGGCGCCGAGGCCCGTGAGGGCCGTGTATATGCCCGGGAGGCAGAGCAAGATGCTGGCAGTGGTTAGTGACTCTTTGGGTGAGACCAGTTGACGTGGCTGGTAGGCTGGAGGGCGATGTTTACCATCCTACTAGGAAGTTTTGTGTAAATGGCCGGTATAGACTGAATCGTGACGGCAGCGCCATGTTTGGCAAGCCGGAGGGTGTGTTGCGAAGAAGGAAAAGGACGGGAAAGATGAAAAGGTGCTGCT